TTTACTTAATTTTTTAGAAGAGTTCTATGTCATTAGTGTTGCATACTTTATTTAAAAACCTGTACAGTTACATGAGAATACCAGCGCTGCGATCTACTTGTATACACATGTACAATTTCTACATCTCCAACTTTTTGAAATTTGGTGCACAGTGTAATTATTGAAAAAAATTTTTTTCACCCTAGGTGGAGATGACGGTTAATAAAAGCTTGTAAAAATGATTACTGCAAAAACCTTTTTATTTGCATTGAAGGTCGTCAAAGGGTCAAACAACCTAAAATTGTGCACACCGGGGGAAATCGGTTCTCCTTCTTCAAACAAATTAAAAAATTTGCTAGGCTCAGCGCCATTGAAAAATGCCATTAAAATTAAAATTTCAAACTTAGAATTTTTTGGAATATTATAGTTTTACAGCTCATTCAATTTTGGTGCAATAATGTGAAAGTTTCAAGTTGCTAAAAATTATCGTTAAATTTTTAGATTTTTTTCCCGAAGTTGTTGCGGTTTTCTTCCATATAAAAATAAGTTGTAATTATTCGGTATATGGGAGCAAATGCTACCACTAAGAAAACTTTAATTTGAGTTTTTTTTTTCTTTAAATAATTATTTTCCCAACGGTTAAATGTATTCCGTTTTGCAGTACCTATGCATACAAATTTACGAAACCACTTAATCCGATTTACATACTTAAAGCAAAAAAGGACATCAGGCTAATTTTCTTTATGCGTATTTGTATGTACATATGTTAGATAGCATTAAAATAAATGCTTTGTGCGCCTGCCAATTGTCAAAAAATTTATTCAATTTCTTTGTAACTTCTTGTTTATATACTTTCTTTCTATCCTCACCCCTTCTTCGAGTTTTCATCCTTTTTTCCACTTGGGAATACTCGCACATCTCATTTCATACCAAATATTTACTCAACAATTTTCCAACAACCCACAGTTATGCAATTCTTTTAACCGAATAATGACCCATAAAATATTTAGAATCATTGCTTTGGTCGATTAAAGGGTGACCGTTTGGTAATAATTGTTCTCCTTCTTGATTTTTTTGTTAAAGTACGAAACTTTTTCATGATAATGGCTTAATCTTTATTGGTTTGAGCAATATTGTATTGTTATTTTGCGAAACTTTCCGCAGTAATATTCAATTTATGAAATCGGATAGTGTTTGAATAATGCAAAGACTTTCTACTTTAGCAAACCCAAACACTAGAAAATACTAAAACAAATTGGTTAAGTCATTGCTTGTAGAGCCGCAAATGAAATCAAGAGCGCTTTATAAATTAGGAATGCGTAGCTGCGTAGTGTCATATATGGAAAAAAATATCAGTTTGTGTGAAAAGTTAAGTTTTTCTTTAAATATGGGATTAAACACTGTTTTTCTCTACCCTGAGATTATGTAGAAAATTATTTGTTTCTTACATAAATTATGTATAACACGTTCCATGTCAAATAAAACGTGGATGAATTTAAAATTCAATATTATGCGAATGCTGCTAGCCTTACAATACATCATGTTGGTAAATTTTTAAACAAATTTGTTAAAACAGTTGTCAGTTATTAGATCATGTTCTTGGCGTCGCTGCTCAGGTTTTGTGCACTCGTACGTATGTACGTACATGGCGTATGAGTAACATTCTCATCTCGTTTGGAAAACTCATGCGCCATGTACGGGTGTACGTTTGATTTNACAAATACAACATGGGTGAATTTTTAAATTCAATATTTGGCAAATGTTGCTACCCTTAGAATACATCATGTTGGTAAATTTTTAAACAAATTTGTTAACACAGTTGTCAGTTATTAGATCATGTTCTTGGCGTCGCTGCTCAGGTTTTGTGCACTCGTACGTATGTACGTACATGGCGTATGAGTAACATTTTCATCTCGTTTGGAAAACTCATGCGCCATGTACGGGTGTACGTTTGATTTTAATTTTTCCGTGATAAATGGTAGATCCCATATGAATCTGCCATTTTGAAATTTTTAAATCTAAACTATAAAACTCAATTTAAGCGACCTTAAAAACACCCAATTGTAAAGGTTTCCGGTTGAACTGATCAGACCATTTATTGCAATGGGGTATACATGCTTATACCATAGTTTCAAATTCTGCGGACAAAAATATCTAAGTAACTTTTGTTGGAAACTTTTTTATCGGAAGTGGCTTTTTTAACCTGTAATCCGCCTTCAAACTTTAACCCGTCGTGGACTTTTAAAATGGACGAAAATGTTTTCATTTAAAAACGACAAAATATGATTTATCAACATCCCCGTTTTATCTTTTGGTCATATTACCGACTTACCATTTCTTTCCTCAAGTGGGTTAGACCGAACAGAAGTGAAAATTTTTAAACCGCAAGTCNAACCCAATTGTAAAGGTTTCCGGTTGAACTGATCAGACCATTTATTGCAATGGGGTATACATGCTTATACCACGGTTTCAAATTCTGCGGACAAAAATATGTAAGTAACTTTTGTAAGAAACTTTTTTATCGGAAGTGGCTTTTTTAACCTGTAAATCGCTTTCAAGCTTCAACCCGTCGTGGACTTTTAAAATGGACGAAAATATTTTTATTTAAAAAGACATAATATGATTTATCAACATCCCCGTTTTATCTTTTGGTCATATTACCGACTTCCCATTTCGACCTCAAGTGGGTTAGACCGAACAGAAGTGAAAATTTTTAAACCGCAAGTCCATTCTAAACAAAGTTTTCGCTAAGAATTACGTATTTTTGTCCGCAGAATCCGAATATGGGCTAAATGCATGTATGTCTTAATTAAAATAAATTGACTTCCGATCAGTTGTTGAAGTTGGCACAATATAGAAAACAGCTATAAATTTTTAAAACCGTACAATAACCACGCCCCTATCCCAAAAAAGAATAATTTAGAGAAATACGAAATCGCGATATATCAGTACTTAACTAGATACTGAAGCTCACTTACTCAAAAATAGAATAGCTCTTCAGCAATAATTACGATTATAAAAAATTTTTGGAATATGTGCATGACACCGCCGACTTATGACCAAACAGTTATGGGAATCTCGGTATCCATTCGAACAATATGCGCCAAATTAGGTACACTTACTGTACATGACACATATATATATATATATATAGNGTCGGTATCCATTCGAACAATATGCGCCAAATTAGGTACACTTACTGTACATGACACATATATATATATATAGAATGGTTACATATATTTATATCAATAAATTTAACAGAACGTATTTTGGAAGATGTTTGAAATAGGCGTAAAACCAACATTGTTTCCCATGTAACGGTGGTTTTCAGAAAGGTGAAACAACTATGTTTACTTAATACGTACGCCGGCTATTTGATACTCGCCTTCGCCAGAACTTAGACTTTATTATTTCTTTCAAACTGCCATTTTTCAAATAATTCGAAAAAGTCGAATACACGAACACCCTATGTGCACGTATGCACTTTTGTGCTATTTTCAAATACGTAAAGTACGGAAATGTTACTAGCACTTACATAGATTTGAGTACAAGTACTCGTAATATGTAGGTTTGCACGAATTGTCTCTAATAAAGTGATTGCAATGCCTTTCTCTTTTCGTTCAGTTTAGTAGTTACTTTTGCACAAATACATGCAACCATACATGTGTATGTACACACACAAATAAAAAATACGACAAGCCTGCGAAGCAATTGCGAAAAGTGCAAAAAAGTTGTGGAAAAACACATGTTTCTTACTTTTGTTTACGAAACGGCCGCCAAAAGCGAGACAAATAACATTATTATGTTAACGGTACATACACAGACATATGTAGTAAAGACTCAAGAGAAATTGAATGAATGAATTTCTATTTCGATTGTTTTGCGCATGAGTAGAATTTGAGTATTTCACAGCGAGTGAATTTGTAGAACATTGAGTTACTAAAGCACTCGGTTTTTGAAATTGCTCATATGTGTGTAAATTTGTCACAGTACATGCTTTAAAAATGCTAGAATCTTTAACACATAAAAACAAATTTGTATTTGTCTAAACCAGGCACTACGCAGTGGTAGCGCGTACTGCTTGTCACACTTGCTATTAGTTTAGGACCGATAAGGGCTCACGGAAATTTACATATAACTGGAATTTCAAAGAAGAAAATTGGAATCTTCACAGGTCCTGCCTTTTTCAATTAGGGCTAGTTAAGACTTATACTGGCCCCACTCGGGTACAGCGGCTACCTGCCTTCGCGGTGGATCTCTTCCTCCAATACTTGTAGAACTTCAACACCACTAAACCGGTGCTTATAAAAATGGTCGACGGCCACCATCACCTGTGACCTACCTAGAGCTTGACGATGACAACAAAACAATTGCATAAGCCGCGCCCACCAGCAATAGCACAAAGGTTCCCCGTAGTGCGGAAAATCCAAGGACGAGCTTCACTTACAAAAAGGAAATATTCCGGGAGGCCTCCAACGCAAACCCCGAGCACCCTGTACCCTCCCGTGCTTGGTTATCCTGCTGTGGATGTGTTCGCAAGGCAAGCTTTATGTTCGTTTCCTCAAGTAGTAGACCTTTCTGTATGCGGTTAAAGCCTCGACAATAAGGCTCATCCGTTTCACAAATTGTTCATCTCCAGGCCACCTCACCCATTCCGGGGGGACAGGTTTAGTTAGAATGATAATTTCGTAATTGTGCCGCAGCATACTCGGTAGGCGAGATCTATTATTTCGATTCCGAATTATACAAAAAAAAACGAAAGTTTTTAATTGCCATCGATAGAAGAGTGTCTGTAAAGAAATTTAAGAGTAACAGATCTATGGCACCTAAAAATTCGAGGATTAAAGGTATCGTAGACGAAAACAATGAAGAAAGCAGGATCCCCAAAAATCTCCATGATGAGCAGACACTGGCTGTTTCAGCGGAATGTTAAGATTCATGGGGCTGTATAAAGCAGCGATGAGCAAAGTAGGCGAAGTTTACCCAGGAGCTCTTCTAAACTTAGTTAAAACCCAAGATTAAGTGTATTTCTCAGAGGTAAAGTGGATTTCTCAAATGACGTATAAAACATTTTGTTAAAATTAAAGCTGCTGGATTCCTCAATAATGCCATGAACTTGGTTTAAAAACCTTTCACTATGCTTATCTTTATCTATTCAAGTTTCCCTATGGCTTAGAGCAAAAAAAACAAAAACAACCTCACATTTCCAATTGTGTTTATTTTTTAATAATTCGATTCAGGACACGTATCTTAATTCAATTTGGTGAGTCGGAAGAGATTGAATTTGCTTTTTAAAATTTCAACATAATTTTTAATTTACAAGCTCAGCATTTATTAATTTTGCGACCAATTACTTTGTCTGCATAAATATATGCCCGCGCACGCAATTGTATTTATTATTCGAATTTAATAACTAATAAGAAGGAAGACATAGGTATCATTGCGGCCATTTACACTCTAGTTGTTTATAAAAATAAAATTTTCAGTACTGACAGTACGACATCAGGTGGTATGGATATTTTTTTAGTGATTCAGTTTTAAGTATTTATATATCAATGTTCCAGTGTTTTAATTTCTAAACAATGTGCTAATGTACAACTTTTTATATATGTATATATACTTGTTTTTCGGCTAAAACTTAATACGCGTGCTTTTGTATATTTGTTNGCTATTATATATGTATACATACTTGTTTTTCGGCTAAAACTTAATACGCGTGCTTTTGTATATTTGTTGTAACAGATAAAATAAACACTACCCCTGAGGATGCTAAAAACGTTTCAGCGAAATGTCGTGTAAAAAGTGTAACAAGTTAGTTTTATTCACACAGAAACTCCTAAGATAAGACTAGCCTACAAACATAAAAAAAAATAAATTTGAACTGATCGGACAAGAAGATAGACGTAAATAAAACACATTTTTCAAACGAACAGCTGAGTGCCTGATGGCCTTCGTAATATGAGTACAATTGCCAGAGAGAGCAAAATTAAGTTCTCAGCACTCAAAATCGTAAATACTGCGCGCTGAAAGACCTCACTTTCATTTTCTGCACAAACATAGAAACACGCTCACTTTTNCGTCGTGTAAAAAGTGGAATAAATTAGTTTTATTCACACAGAAACTCCTAAGAAAAGACTAGCCTACAAACATAAAAAAAAAATAAATTTGAACTGACCGGACAAGAAGATAGACGTAAATAAAACACATTTTTCAAACGAACAGCTGAGTGCCTGATGGCCTTTGTAATATGAGTACAATTGCCAGAGAGAGCAAAATTAAGTTCTCAGCACTCAAAATCGTAAATACTGCGCGCTCAAAGACCTCACTTTCATTTTCTGCACAAACATAGAAACACGCTCACTTTTCTTTAAGCGCTGCTACTTTCATGATATTACTTTTTCTGCTACTTTTTTCACTTAATCCTAAGTAGCCATATGCCGAATTTCGATGTCAACGAATTAGTATTTCGGGAATTTTTTAGCGCTACGGTTAAGAAAATTAGTCATAAAGCAATGGAAAATTCACTGAAGTGATAGGCGGTAGCACAAGGATAAGCGCGATATGCTGAGGTGAATATGCAGCGTAGCTGGCGTACTTTCTAGACAACCATATTAATTTCACTTACGTATTTGTTAAAAAAAAAATACTCACATACATACATACATACATACTAGAGGTTTACGCCGACAGGCTTTGCGGCGGCGGCGTGTTCAACTTCAAAAAGAATCGGCGGCGGCGGCGACGCCGGCGCGTCTGGAAACGCCGGCGCTACTGCCCATAAGGTAGAGTCCAAAGAGCCATGAGGCTTCTAATCTCATCATGTCATCAGATTATAATTCTATTTAATTCATTCATTGAATTCAAATGTTGAGTGACTGCTGCTGATGGATGGGCGAACAGAAGAAAGTCTATATAGTATATACATTAGGTTTCCCATTGAAAATGATTTTTTTTNTCGGAATGTGTTTTCCAAATTCGGTCGCAGCTGGTGGTATTGCGTCTTTTACACAGCCGCACCAGTTTCGCGGAGACACGAAACTCAGACATCGCGGCGTATAGGCAACTACTTTTAGTGCTGCCGAAAAGAGTGCTGATTTAATTTGTCTCTACAGATTCGCGATAATCCGCATCGTACCAGTTATTCTTGAGGCGGTACGTAATGAATGCGAAATGTGGCTCCACTGGTCGTGTATTTTAGTTTGTTGAAGAGTGTTTTCTGAGAGCAGGTGTGATAGCCGATTTGCGAATTCATTGGGTGTCTGTTGTGAATACAGCCTTTCGACGCTGAGCTTTCCTTGCATTGTTGGATGCACATTTTTTGCTGCACAGAGCCGGGTGGTTATCTTAGCTTCAACAAAATAGTGGGGTCCGAGTCAATGTTTGGGCCTCGGAGAGTCGGTAGGTCTTAAACACTGAAAGCGTGCCTTTCGTTTTGATTTTCGATTTGGTTTTTTTGCTTTTAGATCTAGAAAAAACCACGTTGCTTGAGGAGTGTTTTTAAACGTAAACCTTTCGGGCCCCGGCGAAGTCGATCCGCCTCAGGGTGGGCGCAAATGAGCGAGATCTTGAATAACCCCGCGTTGATGGGGATTTAGTGTAGACCTCCATTCACTTTGCATTGTACTCGGCGACGGATTCTCTCCCATCACAAATCCAGTACCGAATTTGCGCTGCTTTAGGTGAAAACTGTAGTAGACGCCGCAGAGCACCCCACATTTCTTGCTTTGCCCCGTTCAACGAATATCTTCGATAGCGGTGAGGTCAGCTGTTATCCTGACATGACTTCTATCAGCTGCTTACCCAGAACAACGACTATATCCCATTGCCCAACATTTCTGGATAAAAATACGAAATCCGAAAGTGAGCTCAAAAAACAAAAATAAATTCAACCCAGAACCAGCTTTCGCAGCAAAAGGTTATTTCAAAGTTCACTTTACGTCCAAAACCTGAATATATTAAAATTATATGTGGGTACCTGTGTCTAAACCGTAGTCGAAAACCCCATATATTTCGTTCTTAGATCCAACAATGCCAAGCATTCGCGCAGTATGCCTATTCAAGTTCAAGAATAAAACAAAGCGAAATCATTTCCAAAGTTCCGCGCATCAAAGTAAAAGAAGGTTGTACGTCTGTATGTCAGCGAACGATTGCCAAGGTAAAGTGGTGCTAAGTGCTGCATACAAACTCAAGTTTTTTTTGTGCTAAAGTTAAGCAATTAAAGCAAACATCCGGCTGCGTCGGTATGCCAGGCGCATTTGTTCGCCGTTGTCTGAATTTACAGACAAACGTATGATCATTAAAAAAAAAAAATTACGGTCTTTTCGGCACTCACACTGCGGCCCGCATGCAAAGTTACTGGTACTTTCACTTTCACAAGGTAAATTCAACCCTTAGTAAAAGTTTTTGTGCCCTACTGTGTGTTTGTCAATATGTACATAGTATGTATGTAAATGTAAGCGTGTAGACAAACATTAAACTTCTGACTGACGTCTAGTGGCATTGTAAAATTAACCAAATCAATAAAGCGGGCAACTGTTCGTTCTTTTTGCTATTTATTTGTCACTTTCCATTAAATCAAAAGTGACGCAATAGCGTGCTACTGTACATATCTTGAGTTTATCACAAATTCGAAATGCGCAAATGAAAATTTTTCTTATCCAGGTGCTGGCATTCTGCGCTCTGCCGGAAAAAGACAACTCCAAAAATGTAGTCAAGTACTCGTAACCAAATATGTACCTAGTGCTATCAATTCTGAATCGGTTATATTATTTCATCCACGAGATTATTTTCTTCAGTCAGATTAATATTAAGTCACGATTTTGCTTGAATCTTAAGACTTTTTTGTTCCTTACAATAAAAATATATTACCTAAATATTAAATTTTTTAATTTAAGACTTTCATCTTTTTTTATTATAAGCTTTGCTTCTCTGAGACCCTATACTGAGACTAGTGTTATCAAAAAACTAATTTCCATTCTTAAAGGTTAAGCAACCTGTAAAATATATAGGCGTTTGGTGATGGAAACGTATTTCGTAGATGACTTCGTGGTGTGGATTAGGGACCAAGAAAATATATTATTCATATTGACCAATCCTTTAATCCTCTTGCTAGATGCTGGCAGTCGGATGTTAAACCGATCACTGTAGCTACCTCACGCTTGCGTAGCAAATGAACGAGCATCATATAGCGTTGCTAAACTTTCCAAAACAAAAAATATACAATATACCGAAAAAAATCTTAAGATTTAATTATTTTTCCTATCATCGTTTTTGAGCAGCTGCACCAGTGATTAGCTGCACCAGTTATAAGGGGATATTAAGTCTCACAGCGTTATTTTCAGGTGTTGACAGTACGCCTAGCAGGATTAAGTGTTGGAGCGTGGCGAGCCCTGCTATACACCTTCAGCCAGAGGGACCATGCAATTGCACATCTCGTTGCTTTCCCTGACATAACCTAAGATGAGGCGAGCTTTGACTTATCCATCTAGTAGTTCAGTGGGGCCTCCTTCCAAGTTGGTACTTCCCGTCCATTCATCCTTATGATAGCCGTTTTAGTCGACCAAGTTCAGTACTTAGGCTCTCGGCCCAAATTTAATGCACGTACTTATGTAAGGAACAAAACAGACGGCTAACCTGAGCCCCCAATCGATGGTGACGGAGTCCAGGTCTCACCTGCTGACTACATAAAACGAGGTGTAGCAGTTACACGGCTGGAATACAACGAAGCTGCTGAAGCCGACGGCCTGTCACTCAACTTTTATGAAGAATGTGGTCTTATGAAAGCGTAGGGTATGCTGAACTTTTAGGGTGCTATTCCCAATTTACAAGGAAGGCGGCTCGGTCTTACACGCTACGCTACTTACCGCGGCACCATCATCGGCTACATGGTTATGTCAAGCGTGGACAGGTATTCACCAGACAACAAATATTTGTATTTGTATTGAAAATGAACCACACCACCAAATAGGATCCATCGACAAACGCACATTTTGATACTTTAAATGATTTTCTCCGACAAATAGTTTATTAACTGCAAACAATTGAAAAAAGATACTTCTCCGTGAGCTCAAAATTTCGCGATTTTTTTTCGAGATTTTCAGATATCATGACGAAATAAAAAAACAGGTGTCTTCTTTTTTCCGATAAAGGATGTAATAAAACATTTTTCACCCCAAAAAAAATATTGAGGTGTAAATATTTTATGGAATGACCCATAGACAAAATACAATCTGTATTCTCTTTCCCTCCATTCCGACACATATGTACATATATCTAAGTAGTAAATCATCTTGGTTTACCGACCTAGCACAAATCCATTTCAGCCAATCTAGATAAAACCCTACTTCTACTATAGTACTTTTGGAAAAGTGGGCCAGTGAAGGACATCTAATAAATCCTTCACCAAATTGCTCATACTGCATAAGCCAAACCAGCCACAAGTAATACTTGTTTGTGACTTGTTTTCGCCACACTTTGCTATAGTTTGACGTCTTAAAGTAATTTTCTATGATCAGCTGTCATAACAGCGGTATAATGCCACACACGACCTCCAACTGCATAAGCGCTAGAGCATGTGTATTTATGTATTTAAGTATGTGATGTTACACAACACATTTTATCACCACAACCATTTTGTTACTTTTTTCTAGTTATATACGCGCACATAATCGGATAAACAGGCGACAGAACATTGATTCGAATGGCTTAAAGCCTGATTATGGCAACTTAACGGAACGTAGAACTTAGATAATCAAAATGAAACAGATTTCAACGTGGCATTAAGTAACGTTAAGTTTTGGCTGTTCAATTATAAGCAACATCCATTTAACAGCACTTTTGAGTGAGAGCCGTAAGTTACGTTAAGTTGCCATAATCAGACCATTACTCAGCGAAAGGAGCACTACCGGACTTTTGCTGGTCACCGCACGGTTGCACCGTTCGCATAAAAATATGACGTAAACATATTTTTCATAAAAAGGAACACATGTTGTTATGAAACATTCACCTCGATTCATACATACTAACATATTTCTTCCAAATAAGTAGTGTTTTCTCTGTGCTGCAAGCTACGAACGAGAAATGGCGGGAGTGTGCGTTTTTGTAAATAGATGTCCACTGAAATACAAAAAAAAAACATAAGACATAAGAAAGTGCACTTTTTTGCTAAAGGTTTATTATCAGCAATTTATAGCTGAGATTTGCCACAAAATTTCTTACCGCAAAAATGCTGACACACCCTTTCAACAAATTTTCACAATCTTCGCATCGTACTACACTTTCCAATATAGTTTTGTAAGCTCTCGCTTTTGTCCTTGTCAAAATGTTTACTGTTATGTACATAAATATTTTCACTTTAATTTCCGCATTGTTTGGCATTTTATATTCGTTTTTGTTGAACCTTTTTTATTGCTTAGCAGTTTCGTCCTGATTGAGTTCCACCAAACTGCAAGAAACAAGTATTATAACTACTGTTCAATTTATATATTCTTTTGACTTAAAATTATTGATGAACATTTAACATATATAGAACAAACCTAAATTCCATCATAGAAACATAAGGTGTGCGAAAAATTATAAAGTTACCCTAATATTAGCGCAACATGAGCAAACGGGACCATTTGTCAATAATTAACGTTGAAAAAATTTAATTACAATAAATTCCAAATAAATAAAGTTTGAGGTAAGAAAGGAAATCTAGGGGAAAATGGCATGCCCAATAATAATATCAGTGCTGCAATAACCTAGCAACACTGATAGTATGTAAATACGTAAACAAATCTTGGCTTGCCTTGCTGTTGAATTAACTAAGTAGTTTGTCTGCTATTCTATATGCCATATCAGCAACAGTTGTTGTTATTTTATTTTTAACGACGATGGCCTACAATTTTAAGTGTTTACCTATGCATCACCCTCTATTAGCCGACACAATATCAATCCGACACAATCAATTTACTAAAATATTTATGGATTTGTAGCCAAGGTCTTTTCGCCACAAAGCAATAACTGCTGAGAAAATATATTTACGCAAACAAATACTAACTAGCACATACATAAATGATTGTAAATTTCTGGCTTAGTAATCTGCTTCAACTAAACTTGAATAAACATCACTGTAGTTTGTGCGGTAACCGCAGTGCTGGCAGTCAATCCTTTAAAATGCTTAGCTCGTTGCGGCTTTTAAAAGTAATATTCGATTATTTGGTTTGCTACAGATTTGTGAATAATTGCTTAATTTGAATATATCACTGAATTATAATGGCACTTATTGAGTGTATGATTGTTTATTTATAGTAAGAAATTGTGTAAATCTAAAATATATTTATTTTATTTATTTCTAGGTTGGTACATAAATGCACAAGAAAATCAAATTTATAGATTTTTCCCGCTTCCACAACCCAGAAGTAAAGAATATCGAAAATAAGGGGACCAGAATTTTTTTTTTTGAAATCACTAAATACTTAACCCTTGAACGCAGACAACTTTTTACACGGCCAACGGCAGTGATTATGATTAAAGCTATCTCAGAATCGAATTGGGGCTATTTTAGTAGATTTTAGACTTATAGGACTCACGAACACTGCGGTGGTTAGATCAAACCGGATTAAAATAACGAATCATTGAACACGTCATAGGTCCCTAGGGACTTTGTCGGGCCTCCGAGGGTTAACCATGCCACTAGGGATTTAAATTTTAGATATATTTTACATGGGGGACAAAAACAAATTTAATATATAATATTACTGAGAAATAAAGGCCACACATCCAAAGAGCGGTCACCTTTACATTATGCTTTGTACCATTGCTTTTACTCTTGTGAACTAAAATAGCATTTGTCAAACAATAATATCAACTACTCTGGCATTTGATAAACTGTCACTTACTATTAGGGTGCTCACAGTTCTATGTATATTATCTGCTGTGTTAATTTTGCCGCCAGGTAACTTTAATATATTTTACCATGGGGTAACTTTGTTGTTGGTTCCCATACTAATTAGGGGTAACACTTTTGGCAAAATTACTCGACTTTGTCTCATGTTTTTTGTCTTCCATTAAACTGGCATTTCTCATCAGCTAATTATTCGCGCTAAGAAAAAATGGAAAGTGAAGCAGAAAAACATAGGGTGGGCGCAATTTGAAAGATTTTTAAATATATACCGCACTATATTTGTTTTATTGACAATTTGAAGCACATGTGTGAAGGGTTGCCACCTTTTAACTTTAATAGTAAACTATGAATACCCTATATGTATTTGAGGCAATAAGCATTAAATGTTACACCGACCGCACTGGCTGGTGTTTTAAGTCAAATCAATTGCAGAAACATCAAAGTCCAATGGCATTACGAAAATAGCAAAATGTACACACAGGGTATGAATTTATATTATCGATTAATACGTACCTACATATGTATGTACATATGTATGTTTTTATGTTTTGTCGTGTCAACCACAAGTCTCGGTCGCATTACCACCAACAATAACAAGTGTGTACCCAATTTGCCAACCGACGTCGCAACAACGTGAACAATTTCTTCGCTGGCGACAGTCGCAAACGACTCGCCGGCGAACTCGCTGTCGGATGAAAACAGTTCGCCGGTGGGCCGCAAAAACGACTCGCCAGCAGGTCGCAAAACCAACTTACCGGCGGTTCGTACAAACGGCTCCCCTGCAGCCCGCAATAACTATATAACAGCGAACTGCAAAACGATGCTCAAAATTTATACCAAATTTAAAGCAAAAGTACAGTTTTATACTAAATTTAAATGAACTTCATATCCACAAATTTTATTTTTTTATTAATAAGGCCAATAGGGTAAACTTTACCTTTATAAACAAAAAAAAATATTATGAATACTGAAAAAAATATGTAAGCGGCTTAATTTTCTGAGTACAAGTGTACATCGTGGATTCCATATCCTGTCATAATAAAAACGGTTTACTATCCAAATAAATGTCTCTTATTTATACTTAGATATATAATAATGTGGGCGTGGAACTTGTCCAAGCCAGAGCGAAGGTTCCACAAAAAACTTGTGGGTTCGAAGGAACGGGTTCGTTCCGAGTTCACCCAAACGACTTCACCAGACCAACGTCGCAACGACTTCGATTCGATGAGAAAAAACGACGTCGGAACGACGTTGAAATTTGAATGGAAAAAACGGCTTCGTTCAAACGACTTCACCAGAGCGACGTGGTAACGACGTCGTCTTCGCCCTGTGGCAAATTGGGTATGTATATACTTGGAGAAATCCTGTTTTCACTTTGTTTTGACCTCGTTTGGTTGTGTGTCATAAACGATCAAAATGTCTTATTAATTCTCACTTCAGCAAGTTTCCTTGACCGGTTATATAAACGCATAGTTTGTTATAATAAATATCAACATACATTATATGCAACAACAATAACAGTGACAACTAACATCTTATTAAAGTGGCAATTAAATCTATTTTCCAGCTCAGTTGGGCATGATTGCATAACAATAGAGGCTGAATGGCACCCTTCTCTATATTTTACAGCCAATTTGGGTGTATTTATGCCTTTGCGTAAATTCGTGTTTGGTACTTCGTAGAATGACGGCATAGAGGAAGGCTAAGAACTGTTAATATCTCGATTTCTCCTAGAAAGAATTTCCGATTTCCTCCAAACTACTAACTTACCAAAATACTAACATACTCACATTTTACGTGTTTCATTTGGAAATATCTTATTGAAGTTTTTAAGGCCAAGGTAGGCCAATTTAAAAGTAATATCTACCTTGGACTCTACCTTTACTCAAAAGTTGAATATCACTGCGGAACAATTTAAGGGCATTGGAATCTAACGGGCCAGTGACCACCACAGGTCAATAGTACTGCACTAGGTTAAGAAAACCATAACCTACACGGCACATCTTCGTGGAATCGATGAAGCGAATATTAGCTTTCATAGTTTTGAGCAAATTTCATGTCTAAATTTGGGATCCCCGCAAAACTAATACGGCTATGTAGAGTTACGTTGAGCATAACTCACAGCTCCGTCCAAATTAGGAAGGACCTCTCCGCGCCGTAGACAAAGCGATTCACCCTGATGCGATGGTTTTCAATGTGATGCTGGCAAGCATTAGAGGAGCTGCCGATCTGAATCGCAGCGGCACCATATACAGCAAAAGCACGATCTACTGGCGTATGCAGATGATATTGACATCGTTGGCCTGAAACCCAGGCATACCAACGCACACATTTTGCAGCTCAGAAAAACAACCTAACGAGATTGGTCTGGCGGTGAACGAGGACAAGACAAAGTACCTCCTGGCAATGCATAAAAAGTCTGCGCGTATTGGAACACACGTCACTTTTGGCAGCCGTAATTTTGAAGTAGTAAAGGACTTTGTTTTCTTAAGATCCAGCATAAACACCAC